GGCTTGGAAATGTTGCAAGACTCACACATGTGATGAAGGAGCTCATTGCATATGAGACATGACATAGAGTCATGTGACTAGGTGGAGAAGATCAAGACACGATTTGGCTTGATAGACTGGTTGCAAGCATAAAGGACAAGTTGGAGGCTTTGAAGCGATGGACCGCGTGGCGGTGAAGTTTGAGCAAGACTTGGTGCCGATGCACAAAGGCAACTGTGAAGAGCAAGTGAGGTCAAGATCTATGAACCAATAAGGTCACGTGATGATATGAAGTGAATCATATCTTTTGGTGATTGAGGTTGGTGCATGTGTTGCATCGACATTAGAGGAGATGGAATGGAATGCGCAAGCCAAAGGTATAACCTATAGAGAATTTTATTTTCACCGGTCAAAGGTTGTCTAGAGAAGAGCATGACTGGGTTTAGGATAGATGGCTGTACTATCAAGAGGAGCAAACTTGTTTGTATATCGATCATCTAGTGCCACTTGAGCGATCTAACTTTGCATACGTGTTAAGATCGAATGGCGTGGTGAGAGCAAGTGAAAATCCTTTGAAAATACTTTGGAAAATGCTAACACACGTGCACATATGTTGGGACACAATGGTGTTAGCACATGAAAGCAAGGGTGTTGAAGTTAGGCTTGAAAAGATGAAAAACGAACTCAGGACCCTACAGTTCATGGTCCTAAGGATGAGTCCAGAGCTCAAGACTCTGTCCGGAGCTAGGGTCCAGGACCATGTCCTCTGAGTCCGAAGCTTGGTTTGGAGCTTAGGACTCTAGCTCAGGACTTGGTCCGGAGCTAGGGTCCGGACCATGTCCTCTGGGTCCGGTTGAGCATTTTTACACTGGTTTGGAGGGCTCAAGACCATGTGATGGTCCGGACCGAAGCTCAGGACTCAGTCGGAGCACTTTGGTACTCCCGGGAGCTCTTTGGAGTGCTTCAGACCCTAACGAGCATTGGTCTGGACCCTCGGTCTAGAGCTCGGTCCGGAGGTGGCTGAGTGAGTGCGAAGTAGCCGTTGGAAACCAACGGTCGACTTCAAACGGTCAGGGGCACATGGTGAGGATCCATGCTAAGGACCCTACTGTTCATGGTCCGGACCTTGGTTCTGGAGCCTGAGTCCGAAGCCCTCGTGGCTATGTTTTGAGCAACGGCTCTATTTGGCCTTTGGGTTATAAATAGAGGTGGAGCTCGGCCATGGCTGAGGTTGAGCACCTTGGGGGACTTAGTGTCCACGCTTGAGAGTGCTTGGGAGCCCTCTAACTCGCTTGTGCATGCTAGATTGCAAATCGATAGCTAGTGAGTGATTCTAGTGCATTGCATTAAGAGATTGAAAGAGTGACACTAGGTGATCGAGTTGCAAGCCGATGATGATTGTTAATCTTGGAGGTTGCCACCTCCTAGACAGCTTGGTGGTGGTCTCCGTCGAAGCACGCAAGGATGATTGTGCGGTGCTCCGGAGAAGTGATTGTGAGGGGTATTGCGCTCTCCCCGCGGGAGCACGAAGAGTAACTCTAGTAGAGCGTGTCATTGAGTTACCCTCACTTATGGGTAGGTTCTTGCGGCATACAACGTGTGGGCTTGGCGTGGTGCCAATTAGCTCGCGAACCACCAAGCGAACAGTTGACACAACGGGAACTAGTTTGATGGCAACCAAGTGAACCTAGGGATAAAAATCATCGTGTCATCATCTTTCCATTGGTTTGCATTCCCTTTTACACAATCTTGTATTTACTTTTTCCAGTATATTGTGCTTGTGTAGTTGCTCTTGTAATTAGTTAGCTTGCGTAGCTTGCTAATTACCTTCTTACTTGTGTAGCACACAAGTAGCTCCCTTGCGTGACTAATTGACTTGAGTAGCCTTGTTAGCCACATTGCTTAGTTTGTGTAGCTAAGTAATTTGAACTGTCTAATTTGGCTTGTGTAGCCTTGTTATTGAGCATTGCTAGTGAGCTTAGAGCTTTGTGCTTTTACTTACTAGTTTGTATAGGAGCTCCACGGTTGCTTGAGTACTAGTTGTATAGGTTTGTGTGATCTTGTTTCTAGAATTGGTTAGGTGAGCTCTAGCTAGGCCGTCATCTTTTTTTTGCCTAATTAGGATCTTTGTAAGGTGCTTATGAACTTAGATAGATGTGTGTAGTCTTGATTAGACCGATAGTTTTAATTCAACATTTGTTTCGGTTAGCTGGTGCGATTATTTTTTAGAAATGACTTTTTACTCCCTTCTAGTCCACCGTCTCGACCCTACACTAGGGCACTCAGCCATCGACTCTGTTTTCTTTCCCTGCTTCATCCATTTTGTTTTGTTTGCATAGAGATGACAGAATAAGTGGTCATGGAGGCCCCTCAGTAATGACTTCATCACAGATCAACGTCTAGAGAGGCACATTCGTGTCAGGAGTTTCACCTATGATGAGGTGTGTGCGGCGACACATGGCTTCGAAGTAGACCGTTTCCTACGACAGGGTTTGCGAAGAAAGTTAAAAAAGAAACAAAGACAAATGTGCAATATCTAAAACAAGCAATATATAGAGAGTAATAGACGTATCATGCTGTCTGAGTTTCTAGCACTGCAGCTAATGTTGCGCACTTCATATGTTGCTAGGTTTCTGTAAACCAATAGGGTCAGCATAAGCTTGCATGGACGAAAGATGCTATCCTATATTCCTATCCTCTTGTTATTTTTGTTTTGTTCAGTCTGTGAACCATTGATGTCAACATGTGTGTGCGCGTGACACGTCCACGGATGTGTGTATGTGCGTGTGTGTGAGACACATGTCAATGGACACGGTAACTTGCAATCATCCACAACAACACATAAAGTTAAACTGTAACCACGGCGACAATAGATGACCAATAATTGCAAATCTTAAACCTTATCACTTCGACGACACGTTCTGTCGGTTGTCGTCCCAAAATTTCAGAGTTTCATCTGACCATGACTAGCAATCTGGCACCCAGCAGCAGCAGCTACGGTACTAACACATACACAACACATACACGTCGTCATAGCGGCGTTGAAGTAGAAGCCGATCTAAAGCAACACAAGCCAACCTGATCCTGACGGACCCAAACCAACGAACCAATAAAACAGCACGAACACGACAGCTACCTAGCTATGGGGACCAAGTTCTGCAATCCTTGTAGGAGCATCATCTATAGTTTTGTATCATTCTAACACCAACCACCCAAAAGATTATCCTAGGCTCGCCGAATGCAGGTTTGGGCTAGGCTGCTGGTGCAGGCGGCGGGCTCTCAGGCTCCGGCGGTTCAGACGATGACTACACCACTTGATTCTGATCTCCATTGTGGAGGACCAGCTGCATGTTGTGTTCTCCGGGTTGTCATCCGCCGGTGGAGGTGCCCAGGAGATGGGTTGCACTGAACCATAAGAAACAAAACATGGGATCAGATGAGAATAACGAGCATGCTTCAATTGATGTCGAAATACTAGCCCATGTTAGAAGCCATATGTTAGGAGGACAAAATGTATATACGGTTGAAGCTGAGGACATAAATGTCCCAGGCACAACCATAATGAACAACCAATTGCATATATCATATGGATGCAGTTGCAACACAAATGTGCAGAATGTATGGCATATCAACCAATTGCCGAGTAACTTCGCACCAAAATTCTGGTGCCTATACTAGAAAATACAAACATCTAGATAGCTACTACTACCCACTTGGAAGATGTCAATCTAACCATGCAGCAATAGGCACATCCCAAACATGCTGGGAGTTGCTATATTTCAGGTGTCTGAATTTTCAGGCAACAATCTTAGACAAGCAACTAGTAGAATTAAAAGGACCACTCACATGATATAATTCACATTTTTTCTAGTCAAACAATGACAAAATTAGATGTTGCCTGAAGAACAACAACAAAATCAGGCACCTGAAATATAGGAGAAGTAAATTGGTGTAACACCACTTTGACTTGTCTGGAACGCTTCCTAACATAGTCCTTTTGTAGTAGTGCAGGTGACTCGAATGAAAAATGAGATAACTTCACACCTTGTGCAGCATATTCTCAACGCTCTTTAAGGTACCTATCCGAGCATGGAGTTCGAAGAATTAGAGAAAATTTTCGATCAGGCACAAGGTAACAACACAAAATACTAAAATGGAAGTTAAAAAATAACTATATCACTTAGCCAACAATTTTGGGAATAACTTTTTTAGTCAACAATTTTTGGGAATAACTTTAGTTTATTAGATATTCATTAATTGCAGTTATTCACAACTACATGCATGTAAAACTGACTTGAGCAACAATATGCTTCAAGTGAAGAGATTGAAGCAAGAGTTGACCAAAGGAACTTGACATACTTCTCCACTTCATTCCTTGATCTTAGTTGTGTTCTAGTAGGGGACAAATAGTACCTGAAAGCATGAATACAATGTTAATATGGGCACTACCATATTTATCCAAGATGCCAGTGCTAGAACACCATGCAGCATGATATTAATATCAATATGGGTGGTCGACTACAGTAAAAAACACTAGATGCAGGTATAAATATATTGAAGGAAAACTGTTTTGCATGATATTAAACTACAACACCAATTTTCCCAATTCTTTAAACAATTAGAACTTAGATTTTCTTTCTTTATTTGTTCGTTGCCATGGACTAGCAGCCTGTTCGGTTGGCTGGTTCGTATCGTTGCTGGTTCGTGAAGAAGTACTGCTGGCTGGTTTGTGTGAGAGAAAAATACTGTTCCGGCTGAAAATTTACGATCGTTTACGACACGCCACAGCCAAACGAACAGGCTGTAGGAACTTAGATCATAGGTTAGACGTCAGCCAGAGGAAATACAACAGATAGCACACAAGTATGCGTACAAGCTCATAAGATTGGACATATGTAACAACTACAATGCCATTTGCTAAGAGATAAGTGGTGGTCAAACTAGGAAGGATTTAAGGTTCGGCGAGAAAAATGTTACTCACACATTAGAAAATTTGGTGCTTCCTTCAGCTCTTATCATAATCAACCTTTCCCATCCTTAGCGCTGTCCTGAGGTACATCTGATGGGTCATCGCATGTCACATCAGGCTTCCACTCACGGGCTTTTTCACAGACAAAAAGATCCTGTAGAGCTTGCTCTCGAATTTCTTCGTACTTCTCTTTTGTTGAAATAAGTCTCCATTTCTGACATTTAGCACATTGAGCAGCAAAGGCTCCAATTTGGTTTCCCAATGCACGCTTTCGTGGCTTTGATGGTTTTGCTGGTACAATTGGGAGATGGCTTGCACTCTGTTCATCTTGTCCCCTATCACTTTTGTCATTCTTATACATGACTACTTGCTGTGATGCATCATCACATTGGTCACCCTCTTTATCAGATAATGTTTTCTGTCTCTTCACAGATGGTGGAGATATGTCTGGTTTGGGCTCCATATTTTTTAAGGACCTGTTGAAAGGATTGTAAATAAAATTTAAGTTAGAAGGTAAAAGATAGCTTCATATCATAACATAATGATACATAAGCATAATATCTTCAGTACAAACGTAGCTCCATATTTCGTGTGTGTGTGTGTGTACATAGTTGTGTGGTGTGTGTGTCCTGTTCCAGTACCCAAAATATAGGGAATTGTAACCATTGCACAAATCAATTTTGAACCTCTTAGAAGTATGATACTATACCCTACATGGACTAAAGCATTTGGATTTGGAATTTGGAGGAAGCATCCAAAGAAAACAGAATTTACATAAACCTCTTTTCCCATCTTAATTGAGCGGCAGAGCTTTGCCTTTTATTAAAAAAAAACAGAATTTACAGAAGGGATACTTTCAAACTGGGATTTCTGTGACAAGCCTACAATTCTAAAAGATCCCTAAGGTAAACAGATTTAATGTAAGTGGAAAAGTGATCAAATACTTTAAAAAAAAAAGAAGTAGCTAGATACACAATAGAGCAACTGAAAACTACAGAAGGGAAACAATACAATAACGGGCACACACACAAGATTGCCTAAAAAAACATTCATTGTAAATCTGGGATTTGATGTACCTAGAATACTGGAAACCAAGTTCTCAAATGTCAAAACTATAGTATACACTCAAAAAGCCAACAGCAGAACAACCATTCCAAGTTGACAACAGAATTCTACAGAGCATTTTATAGAAGACCATTGCTAATAAATTCTCTATGGTACGTTAAAAAAGCATCTGCATAAACACATGGATTAACCAATATTTTTCGCATCATTTTCATTTTGGCTGTATAAGATTAGTTACTGTGCTGTCTAATAAATCTCCATCTTGTACAACTAACTGAGGTGGTGCAACATCCTACAATCAGAAAGCTAGATATCAGGATTCATTAGCCATAGAAGCCAACACCTCCTTAGTACTGACAGGGCCCAACCAATCAGGTTCAACAAAGTCCTTTTCTCCAAACAAGGTATTTCTCAAACCAAAATGGAAAGTTGTACATCAAGTTCAGTTTGGTGTAGCACAAATTCCAAGTATTTAACAACTGAACTAAGTGGCACTAACTCAATTACAAAGATTCCTCAGCTTGACTCCAGGATATCATTTGCAATAAAAATATTTACGAACATAGTTCCTCATTAGTACGCTTAGGGAATTACCAATTGGACCCTGTTACAATAAGGTATCGCATAACTTCCTAACATGTAACTTTTGAACTAAGTAGAGCTAATGCAGAAAATACCAAAACCCCTAGGCTAGATACAATCTATCATTAGCAGTAGCGAAACACAGCATTAAGTTGACAAACCTAAGTCAGCATTCCAATAGCATTAAGTTAATGAGAAATGTTATGAAGCTAACATTTCTTGCTTCTTGCAAGCCTGTGAACCGCTTTCTTCAGACTTGAACTTGTCTGAACTTAATGTGTTTCAGTCTTTCAGACACATAAGAGATTCTGTCCAGTAGCTTGTTCAAAATGGCAGGGCGAACTGTTAATGTTTTGACCACAGACTTTTTATGGAGCTTTCTTTCTATAATAAAAGGTGACCCCGGAGAGTTTCCCCTCGTCCAAAAAAAATCAGCATTCCCCTAGCATAACACATGACTCTGGAATCCAAACAGTACAAGGCTAGTCCAACCAACAACAGAAATCGTGATTCTCCAACCGTATGTGTTCTCAGGCTTGCAAGACGTGAAGCGTATGTGTTGTTTATCCCTAATATCCTAAACCAAAATCTAGAATGTCACCAAAATCCAAGGATTTAGGCATGTAAACATGCCAAGCACAAATCTGTGGCCTTCTAGCTTGTTAGCAACAAGAGAAGCAACTCTCTGATACCTACGCTTGGAATGCGAAAACTACACAATCGCCAAATTGCACGTCCATACACAATCACCAATCGCACATCCATAGCACAGACTCTATCTAACATTCGATACCAACCAGCAGAAAATCACCGGAATTCTACCCAAACGAACAAGTTTATTCAGTTCTTCTGTGAGCACCGCACGCGAAATGAAATCAAGACACCAACGATCGCAAAACAGAAGACAAGGAGGATAGAGCGTATACTTGTAGAGCTCCCAGTAGCGGCTACGGGGCGGCCAGATGGGCTGGTCGTCGTCCTCGGGAGGCTCCGGCGGCGGCAGAGGAGACCGGACGGAGACGGGGGTTCGTGGCGGCGTGCCTAGCAGGCGGCGTCGAGCGCCGCCGGAAGAGCTCAGCTCGGCGGGGGTCGCGTCGAGCCGTGGCGCCAGGCTGCACGCTGGCGGACGCCGCTGCGCCCGCCTCGGATACCTCGGCGCGCGCGCCGGGCGTTAACAGGAGGGAAAAGCCGACAGGCCTTCTCTGTCTCTCTCTCCTACACTTGCAACTGTCTGCAGCGCTGACTGGTTGGTGACCGAGAAATTTTGGATAATTTGGTGAATTTCGACTGAATTTATAGAGGGGAGATGGTGTTGGTTTTAGACCTAGTACGACTCAGAAGGTTCTGGAATCTGGCCACCTACCCTAAAAAATATTCATAATTTCCTTTTGTTGAATCCAAATTCCAAATGGCCCATTTATCAAAGCTTTATTTGTAGACTAGTGCATGTGTTTATATTTTGTCAAAAAAAGTAGTTTGGGAAAAATGACATGGGAAGTGTGACTGCAAAACTTTACCCTAGTCATCAAACAAGGGCGCGAACTAGGACCCTAGTCATCAAACAAGGGCGCGAACTAGGGCAGCATGGCACGAAATATAGAAACCAAACTACTAGAGGTCGTGAAATGTGGAGTTTTAAACCTACAAACAAATTAACGGTACGGCCAATAACGTTGGTAGCAATTAATAGAACAATAGCGGTCTTTGGTGCAAAAGAAAAGCGCAAATAACGTCTAAAACTAAAGACGTGCGCAACAAGCATTTACATGGACAGTGTGCGCTTATTTCTAATAACTCGCTGTCGATGCGGGACCCACAGGATACCCCGCAAGAGAGAGAAGATCTAGTTCAACTAGGATTCTTCCCATGTAATCTTAGTAATAGAACTATTAAGTAATCCTACTAGGAGATCTCATTGTAAACCGATTAGGACTCCGGCCTCCTGACTATATAAAGGAGGGCAGGGCTCCTAAAGAACGATTTATTGTACAACATAACACTTCATAATCAATCCAACGCAAAAGGCAAACGCCGACCGTAGGTCGTTACTCGATCTACGATCGAGGGCCCGAACCAGATAAATCGATCGTCTCTTGCGCTTACCATCGAAGTTCAAAGATACGCCGGCTCGAACATATCTTGCCGGGTACCCCGGCAAAGCTATCGGTGGTAAAACATCGACAACTGGCGCGCCAGGTAGGGGCCTTCGACGACTTTGCATCCGAGACCTCGATGGACCTCAATAACATGATCTTCCCGACGGGATCGATTTTCATCTTTCGCCTCGTGGATCTACGAGGCGACAACTACTGAAGATTCAAAGCCATCTCCTCAAAGATCCGGATCATCATAAAGAATCCTCTATTTCGACAACTACGACGGATCGCCCATCGAAGATTCAAGCGACCCATAATACCCGATTCAATAAGATTCCACGACTACACGCATCCGACTCAATTCAAGCTCCGTGTCCGAGATGAAGTCCTATTCGAGTGCTTTCAAGAAGTCGAGTTCCTGTTTGGCAAGATTCCAGAGCACAACCCAAAACAACTCGGATTACCCTCAGAATTTTTTCAAAAGGCCGAGTTCTTTTCCATTTGGGCTCGACAACACGACAAAATCCTATCGTGACAGCTTTGAAAGGTCTTTCAAACCAACACTTGGGATACCAACGACAGGAGCCCAGGAGGGTCTCGTACTAACGATAACATCGCAAGATCAGATCATCCATCGCGAGATCCGTTCCTCGAGGATAGCGGAACCCAACTAGTCGGCACAACAACAACAAATATTCTACCTTACCAAGAGGGAGACTCAATCTACGACGTCCGAGACGACATCAAGTCATCAAGAACTCCGACAAGATGAAAACTAACAACAATAACGGAACGGCTCACGCACGAGAAGTGCTCATGGTTCGGCGTCCTCGGTCACCATTAAACCCCGAAGCACCCGATGTCGTCATCGATGAATCGAGAATCCAACATATCACCCTTTGCTCGTGGCTACGATGGAGAAACCGAGAGTCGAGAGGCAGCTAGCTAGAGAAAGGAAAAACAAGTTGAAACAAGGGCGCCAAAGACCAGCGCTCGGCAGAGAGAAAACTAGAGACCAGATCTGAGTCGAATTAGTCAATACGACAAAAGAAAATCACAACGAGAGGCAAGAGAGACGACAAAGGAGTACGCCTTACGATAAGATTCGAAAAGCATTAGAAGAACTCAGGGCAACTTCACATCACGGAGAGAAGTACGAACAGCTCCATGACTTGCTCCGGTCAACAATCCCAAGAACGCATGAAGAGAGAACCCGATCAAGACTACCCGCCAGATCAACAACCCGCAGCAAGAAGATCAAAATCAAAGGAAGTCCGCTTTTGAAAGACTTGGACCAAGGCGGAAGCCATAGCGGAGGAAGTAGGAGGGAACATAGTCGGGCCATCAATTTGAACAACCAAGGAAGACCAGAGTAGAGGGCCTACCAGCATGCCTCTCGCAGAATTATTCCCATCAAAACAACACTTGGCCAGAAGAAGGAGCCGAATCCGAATTCAAGGAAGCCGGAACGCATGACAGATTCCCCTGTTTTGCAAACAGGTTGGCATCAGTACGATTACCTCACAAATTCAAACCATCTAATCACTCCAAGTATGATGGCAAAACCGAACCAAGGCAATGACTCAGAATATATTCACAATCAATTGAACTAGCCGGAGGAGACGATGATATCAAAACCTTGTTCTTTCCCATGGCACTGGAAGCGATGCCCCTCCAATGGTTCGATAAATTGAATCCAGGATCGATCAGAACTTGGAAA